CAGGATCACCAGGACCTTTTCTTCCCTCAGTAGAGGGACGGGCCCTTGACTGCACAGGGTCTGGGTCCTAGGCTCACCAGCATGGCTCAAGGGAAGCCCCAGAAAATGTGCAATGGGTTAATACCTGGGCAGGGGTATGTGGGTAGAGGATTATGGCCAGGGCCCTGACATCTGGCCAAACCCAGTGGAGGGGGTGGGCAAGGCATGGTGGGGTGCAGTGGGGAGAAAGCCAGTTAGACAGACGTAGGCAGAACCAGGGCAACAAGCATAGGAGGGCTGCTCCCGGTACTCTGCCCACAAACCTGCCAGGTTCCTTTCCTTCCGACTTCACCCAAACAGTGGGTAAATTCTAGATTCCCTGGGCATCTAGACCAGCATGAGCCCCCCCTTCCCTCTCAGCCCTCACCTCTGAAATCTCTTGTCCCCCATCTGTTCAATTTCTGGTCTCAGGAAAAGGTTTCCTCCTCCCCTCCAAAGCCCAGCCCTTGTTCTCAAGTCCTGGCTTCCACTTCCAGAGGGAAATAATAATAATAATAATAATAATACCACCTAACGTTTGAGAAATTTCCTTCACTAAGTAGTTTACATTCAATTAGACTTTTCCCCACCCCTACGCACCTTCAGCATTTATCCTGTGCTGAGAAGGCCTTCATTTTTTCCCTGCTCTCCAAACTCCTGTCCAATATTTCTCCATTTCTTCTCAGCTAGGCACCTCCAAAGACACCACAGCTGCTGCCTTAACCCTTTTAATCTGTATTCTCTCAAAATCCTGTCCCTGAAATAGTCTAACACCCTTCTGCCTCACCACTTCCAACCCTGGCCCTACCTCCTGCTCCTAAAGCACACAGCACGAAGAGCCTCCTTTCTGGAAGTTCTCCTCTCCCCTGGCCTCTGCTCGGGGTTCTATGTCCTATGCCAGGTCCTGCTCTTCCTACCACCCCCTGTGAAGGCTTCCCCCATGCTCCTCCCCTCCCCCCAGTGCCTGGTCTACACTCTGCAAGTCACCTCTGGGAGCTCATCCAGCTCCGTGATTTCAAGTGTCCCTTCTACACCTGACAAGGCAGTCCTTGGCCCCTGTCCTGGTCATGTCGAGGTCCACTTCTGCCCTAGCCCTTGCCCTCCCTGGGGATCTCTATTGTCTATAAAGTCTTCCACCAGACTGGCTCCCCCTGCAGACACAACAAGGTAAACCAAAAGCAATGGGGTCGGGCTCAGAAGACATGAAACTTTCAGCTTTGCTACAGGGTCACCTCGCACCAGGAAGTGGTTCCTTCTCAGTGGCCCTGTTTCCCTGTTGCAGGGTGCCCTATCTCACAGGGCACTGTAATTAACAGTTGGAGAAAAAAACGCCACCACAACAAAAAGAGGATTCTTCTTTTCACACTCCCCTCATCTGCCAGACATCGCCATCTCCCAGCTCCCAGGACTCTGTGACTTCTCCTCTGGGGTTTGAACTTCTCTTTGAATCCCTAGTCACTCCCCAGGCCAAGCCTAGACGCCTAGAATCCCAGTGTGACTGAGGCCATCCACCCCGTGCTCCGCTCTGCTGTCAGGTCCGTCCTTTCCAAGAACACAGCATGCGCAGCATAACCCAGGTCACCCCATCCATGGCCCGGCTGGGATCTTTGCAACCTTTTCTTCCCTTAGCAACCAACTCAGCTGGTTCACCTGAGTTACATGCCTGCACCCTGGGCAGTCCTCACGTCATTTTCTTCCCACTTACCTAGACCTTGCCCATCCTTGTCCCCCAATTCCCTTCAAGGCATTTCTGATTCCAATCCCCTTGTTCTACCTTCCTGCTAGTATGCGCATGTGCCCACAGAAGCCCATGTGGCTGGAGTGCTGCCTTAGGTTTCCTTTTCCTTTTTTTTTTAAAAAAAATATCTTTATTGATTTCAGAGAAAGGGAGAGGAAGAGAGAGATAGAAACATCAATGATGAGATAGTTGTCATTGATCAGCTGCCTCCTGCATATCCCTGACTAGGGATCGAGCCCGCAACCCAGGCATGTGCCCTGACCGGGAATCGAACCCCAATCGCCTGGATCCTAGGTCGACGCTCAACCGCTGAGCCATGCCCAGCCGGGCAGTCCTTTTACTTTTTAATTGTAGCATAACTGACTCGTCCTCCACCTAGCACTCCTTTTCTAACTATAGCGCAGGACACGGGTGTCAGAACCCCCTGGGGAGTCTGCACACAGGGTAAACTGGGGCCTGCCTGGGCTTCAGTTTCTCTCACTGGCAGCATGAGCTTAATGACACTTACCTCACAGAACCATCTGAGCATTAAAGGAGATAACAAGTGAAAATACCAAGGAGTGTCTGGCACTGGACAGAAATGCAAAATATATTGGCTAAATTGTGGCTCAGGCTTTAACCTTCGCTTAATATAAGAAACAGCAATTATTTATTTATTTTTTTGAGTTTCAGACAAAATTAAATCTTAGGGGTACCATTTACTCCATTGTTCAGTATTTTTCATTCAAAACCCCCTAAATACATTCTTCTCTAAAGAGTAAGGGAACATTTGTTTCCTCTGAAAAGTAAGTATACTTCCTTTCCTGTGACATGGGAACTTTTAACCTAAGGCTTTCCAGTTTCTGCCTTTGGCTGCCAGGAAGCTCAGAGCAGTTTTACACTCAACTGCAGGTTTCCTCGCTGACCTGCAGGAGGCAGTGTGAGATGGGGAGAGAGCAAGGGCCCTGAGGTTGGAAGATGCAGGCTAGGATGCTCTGGGCCCCTGCTTACTCTGGATGACCCTCCAGGCCTCTCTGAGCCTTAGTCCCCTCATTTGTGTCAAGGGGATAAGAACCATGAGGACAATACCTATTTATAGGACTGCTGTGAGATAACGCATTAAGAACACTTCACAAATTACCCAAAGAGTCGAATGAAAGTTGGTTACCAGCAGCCGAGGTTTTCTAACATGATTTTCCTTCAATTCCCTCCCAATACTTGCATCTTATCTTTTAAACTTTGTTTTCATTGTTTTGCAGTTTTACTATAACTCTTAATTTGCTGTGATCCTGTCTGAAAGTATACAGAGTACAAATAAATGACAAAATTATTCCTAGAGGTTGATTACCCTAAGGACAAGAAATCATGTCCTTCCCTTGTTTTGTGTAATAACAATGTACAATAGAAAAACATTTAGCTATACGAAGAACATTCCAGTTCTCTGTACTAAATTGTTAAAATAAGCTGAACTGTAGGTCAGACTGAGAGAATGGTCCAGAAAAGGGCTTTGGGGGGCTTGTACTGATGATGACTGATGACTTAGTCATTCATTCCTTCTTTCACTTGTCAAAGCTTACACTGATGCCTGCTGTGAGGCAGGCACTCTGCTGGGACTGGAAAAACAAGGGACTGACCCTAACACAGTGCCCACTCTGAAGGAACTCACAGTGCAGGATGGAGGGGCTATGTAAAAGGTAGCTTCATGGGAGGATACCACCTGGGGCGGACAGGAGAAGGGGGTATTTGATGACATGGGGGATTTCTTTAGTCAGAAGAGGGAGGGAGAGGATCCAGGTAGAAGAAATACACTGGACGGTCTCTTCCAGTACCCCAAGTGGATGAGTGTTTTCAGGGAAGAAATGGGTTAGAGACTCACAAAAACAAGCAAGGGTCAAAGTGAGAAGAGCCTTGCAGCCTCCAAGGAGCCTGGAATTCATCCTGAAGGGGAGGGTGTGTAGTCAGTGAAAGATGCTGACGGCCAGAAAGTGAGGGCTTCGGGACATGACAGATATGACAGGCCAACTTGGCCCCTTGAAACTCAGCTTTGTATACAAGCTGCATGCAGTGTTTGATGATACTCATGAAGACAGGACCTGACTCGGAGATGGGACCATCTGCTGCTGGAGGTCTTCATACAGGGCCTGTGTGAACATGGGCCAACTGGGATGTTGAGAAAGGGAGCCAAGTTCTGGACCAGGGCTGGACTAAAGGACCTTTAAAGTTCCTTCCAAATCATCAGAGACTCCGTGATTCTAAAGCAAACCCGGTAGCTGAACTGGGATCTGTGACTGCGGAGCTGCCATGGGCAGCAAATGGGTTAAGGCTCAAATAACTTTTATATATGAATTAATGTGTAGAGTTGTGAGCCAAAATCTGTTCCATTAATTTTTCCATCCATTCCAGGAGCAGTTAGGTACACACAGTAAAGTTTATTTTGGTGCATGGTATACTTCACTCCATTAAAAATAAATTAATCAGCAAATTCCTGCCTGGCTCAGCTCTGGTTTATGTAAATAGTGCCCAGCTGTAATGAGTTACAAGGTGTTATTATCTCACACACACAGAGGAGGCTTCACTCTAGAGCTCCGCTCACAACAAAAGCATCTTAAATAAATTCAGAGAAGGCGGTTTGATTTGTAATGTTTTCACAGAAGTGGGATATACCTCATCCATATAGAGTTTCTTTATATGACTCATTTTATAGCAAGTTAAATGAAGGAAGTTTGATGGGGGAAGGAGGGGCAATATGGTTCCACGCCCCCTTTCAATTTAAAGAAAATCCCCCAAGAGATGACCCATACTCAGAGGGAGGAGGGGACTGGCCCTCAAGTGCCCACACCCAGCTGGCTCTGCACACGCTCCAGAAGTTGGGAAGGGCATAGAAAGCTGGGCATGGGCTGGGTCCTGCAATGGTACAACAAAACCAGGAAGAATGTTCTCCTCTTCTCCCAATATCTCATATAAGGGGGAACAAGAGAGGAAGGAAAGCATGTTCCTCACTTGGTCCTTGAGACCTCTTTCCAAATGACTTGGGATATGACAAGCCCTTGGCCATCAGAGGCCTCTGGGGCCCCAGAGGACAGGGCCTGGCAGGCCTTGGATGGGCCAGAACAGTGACATCTCCATGAACTGGAGGCAAAAGCAACAGCAGAGGCCCTCCTGACCCTCTCCCTGCCTGTCTCTGAGCTGGGGGGTACTCCTCAGCTTATAGCATCCACCACCTCAGATAAGTTTGTAAAAGACCCTGGAATAAAAGAGAACCATGGAAGAGTTAATTAAGTCTGTTTCTTTTAATGGCCAACTCAACCCCACAGCTCAAAGCCAGGGGACAGAGCATGGTACCCGTCTTGATTCAGCAGCATTACAAAGTGCTCCTGGGCCACAGTGGGCCCTTGGTGGGGTGTCCCCTTTCTAACACCCTCATTCCTTCTGTGGCCTTTGGGAATAGCTGTCCATCTCAAGGTTGCTAGAGGGGAGCTGGGGGATGTGTACTGGGAGCTCTTGTTCAGGACTGCTCTTGAGGGAGAGGACACCCCAAAAGAGCTTCTCCCAGTACTATAGCCCACTAGATCAGATCCTGGGCATACTAAGGAAAATCAACACAAAGGGGGCCAAGTATTTGACAGATGCGGTTCATAGGTCAGTTTAGGCCACTTTCTGCAGGGTCCTGGGTCAAACAGGCACCTCTCTCCTGGTGGTTCTTCAAAGCCAGCTGGCCAGCTGCTGAGAGGGACCAGCCCATCAAAGACCCTCATCATTATAAATTGGGGAATGGGGCTTCAGGACGCTCTGAGGATTCTTCTCCACTAGAGGGCGCCAGCTCACCTCCCCGGTCAGAAGCAGATCCTCACCATTCATGGAGTCCAGGTACTGAATCTGCAAGGGGGAGAACAGGAAACAGGAAAGGCACAGGGCAGGACAGATGTGAGGTGGCATAAGGAACCAGCCTTCTAATGGAGAGGAAGGGAGGGGCATGAGGGTATGCCTGACCATCCCAGGTCTCAGGCAGGGATGGTGTCTGGTCTTCCAGATTATTTCCCTTGAGGAGGTTTAGAGAAACAAGTCACTGGGGAAGCTCACTGGGAAGGCTTCAGGGAATTCCCCATCATGCCTCTAGACAGACACACAGGCACACAAACCCGACTTTCTGGGCTGAAAGAACTTTCTACGGAGGATGTATCGGGGGGACATGTCCTTGAGGTAGGGGTGTGTGTGTCCATTCAGAATGGCAATGAATGGTACCCAAGGTGAGTTAATTCTCTTCTCTGAGATTTAACTTCCCTTGTCTGAGAAAGGTCTCAGAAAGGGGATAGTAACGTGGACCTCACAGGACTTATGACAAGATTAAATGATAGAACATATGTACACTGCTAGTCACTGGGAATTTTTTTTTTAAATATGTATGTCTCTCCGTTCTCTGGTAGGCCTTCACCCCATGGTTAGTGGACCCTGACTCTGGTCAGCTTCGTCCCTCTAGGGTGGCTGAGGGAGTTTATCCCCGACCAGCTGGAGAGGGAACGCCTGTGGAGGAGAACTGGAACAGCTACAGGGGGGATATGGTCAGGCAGTTCTGCAAGAAGCAGGTGATCTAAGGAGTGGCTGAGTCTCAGGAGATAAAGGCAGTCTCTGGGAAGATTCCCCAGACTGCTGCTAGTAAGGAGAGCAGAAGGACGAGAAACGCTTTCAAGTGGCCAGGCACAATCTAGGGTGAGAGCAGGATCAGAACAGGAGTCGGCACTCGATTTATAAGATGAGATTCCACTTTGGGGTATGAAGCATTTGGGGGATAAGGGGAGGGGGCAGGAGTCCAGAGGCCTCATCTTAGGCCCTGGATCATCTCCCTCTTCCAAGAATTCCTTCACTTTTGTTGTTTCATCTTTAGGCTGCTGACCTTTGAACAGAACCCCAGTCTCTCTCATTACCTCAGGTCTAGATTTCCACATGTCCTGATGTCCTCCAGGGCAATGAGGTCAACTGACCCATTATCTTCTCTAAAATTCACTCCTCTTTCCAATGACTCCATTTCTGTCCCTCAGGCCACCACTATGCCCATCTCCTGGGATAAACATCTCAGCATAACCTGACTGGGGCTTGGGGCCATCTACCACACCAACTAGCATCATGGTGCAGGACCAGAGTCTGTTCAGGTCCCAGCACCCTGGTCTCCCCGATCCCCTCATCAGACTGTCTCTCCTTTCTTTGTCCTTCCACAGCACTTTGTTCCTATCTGTATCACATCCAGACTGACTTATTCCAGGGTTAGCCTTGGGCCTGACTGGCTTCCTCGCCAAGCCAGGAGCTGGCTCCCTGAGGCAGGACTAGGATTCATTAATCTCTGCTTTTTGAATAGAGTGCCTGGCAAAGTAGGTGCTCAAAACGGCTGCTCACAGAACTGGGTCCCTGTCAAAGCTCCACGCTTCCCTAAGAGCCCCATCACTGTTTTCCAATTGCTGGCCTCTCACTGGGGCAATATGGGACTTCTTGTAGGGGAACTGGTGGGGCAGCCCCTCCCTTTAGGAACCTCAGAGAGGTCCCAGCTATGCCCTTGTCGTGGCCCCTCGCACAGGCCCTCCACAGCAGATGGAAAAATTGGGCTGGTCTCCTAGAAAACAGCATTTGCTTTGCCAATTGCTACTGCTGGCTGAGGGCGAGTCCAGTGAACAGTGTGAGTCTCAGACTTCTTCCTGGGTGGGGCCCTCTGGCCATAGTGCCTTCTCTCCGGCTCTGGCAGATTTGAAGAATGGTCAAACCGAAGCCCTGGCTTCGGGGGTTCTCTACCCTTTGGGTCTGAAAAGCCTTGGTATGTGGCTTTCCCAGGAAAAACAAGATGGTCCTGTTGGCCTTCTCTTCAAGAACTGGGGTCTGGTCTTCCATTTTCTCGCTATTGGAGGCTTGAAGGCCATGGACACAGGTGAATAAGAGAATAACTGTGGGGCGAGGCTCCTTCGGCTCCAGGGGCCAGACATATGAAGCAAAAGTGTGACTCATGGGACAGCCTGAGCTGATGAGCTGTCTGGAGCAGCTGAGGCCTCTAGTGACTACATGAATCACCAAGCCTAGGGTTCTAGGCCACTGTGCAGGCTGATTCACTGGGAGACCCTGGAAAAGCCTCTATGTTCCTCTTCCCTGCCACTCAGCTCACTCAACTGCAAGGTTGGGGTTTCCCATCAATACAAGATCAGGAGGCAGAGAGATCAAGGAGTGAATTCTCCATGGGCCTGAGAAAAACTAAGCAGTTGTCACTCTGGAGCTTTCTCCTAGAACCTTGGGTGTCAGGGGGGTCTGGAGAGCCAGTGAAGTGAAGAATGAAATGGGGGGACCCGACTTGACTAGCATAGCACCCAGGGGGAAGAAGCATGAGGGATGACTGTGGAATGCTACCTGGAGTCCAGTCCTGCCAGAAATCAGGAGCAGGAAACATAAATCTTGGGGCTCAAAGTGGGTACAGAAGTGGGGCTACAGTGGGTGGTTGCACTGTATCCCACGTCCATACCTTACAGGACTGTGTGTGCCAGGATCTAGCACAGCACTTGGCACGTAGAAGGCGATCAAACACAGCAAATAAGCTTTTGAAAGCAGGAGACTCCTTGGTGCCTTTTCTCCTATTCCGACCCCTGGACTAGCTCATGGTAGATACACAAAAGGTGCCCACTGCGGACATGATTTGGTCAAAATTCCCTCAGACTGGCCTCTGAGAACTCAGCGTCTCATCATCCTCTGGCAGCCCAGCACTGACAGACCTCAGGAAGGACCTGCTTTCCATGAGACTCTGGACGGGAGGGGAAGGACTACTCACCTGTTTCCTCACATATTCCACCAACAGTTCAAGCTGGCGAGGGTCTTCACATTTCTGGTTGAAGAAGGTTCTCCAGAGGGCAGCAGCCAGCCCATGATCATCTGAAAGGATCCCCTGGAACACAGAGCACCACAATGGTCTTCCGGGAAGTTTGGGAGAGCCATGACACAAAAGCCAGGGATATTAAGAATATGCTAGTAAGCACAGAATCAGCTCAGAGGGACATGACAGACACTGAGAAAAGGGGAAGCTATACGGTAGAGCTGGAAGGGGTCTTCAGAGAGTATGTGGTCCAAAATCTTCATTTTATACAGAGGAGGGACATGGAAACCAGAGGGGCTGAGTGACTGGCTAAGGTTGATGCAGAGATGGAGCTCATGTCTAGTCGACCCTCCCGGGTCACAGCTCGCTCTACTCAGCAGTGGTCCCACTGCTGTCCACAAGGCATGGGCTTGAAATAACATAAGTATGTTTTTTCCCAGGAACAAAGGTAGGTGTGGACTGCACCTTCTCTCCTGCTCCAACCATATGTCTGCAAGACAGCTGGCTCTTTGGGGAAAGGAACTAGGCACCTTGGCCTCAATGTCACCCAGCTCTAGGCTGGACATGGCCGGCGCAGCCTCTCTCTGAGTAGAGGAACAGGCTCTTTGGCAAGATTACTATGGGTCACAGAAGGAATGCTCAGAGCCTGTGTGTATGTGTGCCTAACATTGTCTCACCCGGTACAGAGGAGACCTCTGTTGGGAATCCAAATATCAGAGAAGCTAATCAGCAGCTAGGCCATGGACTGCGGCCATTTACTAGCTTGGACCTCTAAGGGAGGGCAAGGGGAGGGTCTTACTTCCTGGGGTAAGGGCAACTAAAGGGAAAGGCCCTGAGAAGTTGCTCTGTCCAGGTGCCAAGGTGGTGTGAGAAACCAGACAAAGTGCTGACTAGGAGTTAGAAGGCTGGATCAAGTCCTAGCTCTGCCACTGCCAAGCTCAGAGATGGTGGGCAATCCACTAAACCTGAGCCTCAACCTTCTCATCTATAAAATAGAGATGAAAATATTTGCCCTTCTTATAGCATCCTTAAATTATAAACATTAAGACAATGTAAAGGTGTCTTGTTAAGTGTAATATGTCACATATCAAGATTAGGAGCTTTGCCAGGCAGCTGTGGGTAATAGTTGAAACAACAGTGGGATGTGGGGATCAGACCACCTGAGTTCTAATGGCAGCTGTCACTTGATGGGTGTGTGGCCTTTGGAAAGCCCTTCCTGAGCCTCAGTTTCTCATTGGCTAAACAAGCATATAATACCTATCCCACCAAGGAGTTGTGAGAATTAAGAGAGTATGGCCATGTAAGACCCTGTGAGTAGTAAGTCATTACACAAAGACCCAGGACCATTTATTTGACATGTTGTGGGCTGGCCTCTGAAGCATTGCAGTACATGAGGTCTGGCTTCAGGCCAGGAAAAGCCATGTCCAGTACGACAGTTTGGTGGAAAAATAGTCCACCTGTTCCAAATGTCCCTGCCAAACACCCCTGCAATTCTACCACTTAAGAAACTATCCTGGCACAATGGCAAAGTCAGGAAAACCAGCTTCTTCCGGTAGATGGGACAGGAGCCAAAGACAAGCTCAGGCACATCACCGTTTTCCAAGCTATTTGCTAACACAACAGCCTGCCTGTGTCTGAAGTGCCCTGGGCACATGCCGGAGTGCTGCTGGCAGCAACCCACATGTGCTACATGGGAAGGAACAGGAGTGCAAGTGGGTGTTGTGAGGACTTGGAGAACGAGCACAGAGCACAAGACAGCAAAAGCCTGGGGGACATGGCCTGCTGCAAACAGGCAGCCTTGGCGGTGGGTGAGACGGCTGGGAAGGGGCAAACCCATAATCAGTTCCTGAACTGTGAGAAGGAACAGGATGACTCAAGACTCACATTAACAGTGATAACAGCCTGACTATTCCAGACTGTCAGAGTTCCTTCTCACACCTGGCTCCTAATAACTATGGATGCCAAGAAGAGCAGATATTATTACCCTCATTTGAAAGAAAAGTACACTAAGACTTGGAGGTTATCTAGCTAATTGGTGGTAGAACTAGGACCAGAATGCACTGGTGAGGTCAGAGGACAGTGTCTGAGTAGCTCTAGTTAGGATGCAATACTTGAAACAGAGTGGAAGTGCAATAAAAATGGTTAAATAAATCCACAAACCCAGCTTCAGCCCTCTTTCCACCATGCTGCTTGTAAGTCAGTGAAAACAAATGGAAGACTGGTCTGAGAGAGTGTAAATTTCAAACCAAGGAAGCAGGAAAAAAGGGTGCCTTTTCCCCACAATCTACTAGGGTGCCTGTTTTCCCTCCAATGCAAAAAAAAAAAAAGTATCCTTCAGGAAATAAAGATACCATGTCTAGAGTAACTGAGAGGAAGCCAAAAGGGACTCCCTGACACTAGAGGCTCTGGTGATAATTAAGGGTTCAGAGTAGCAGAGTCTCACTCAGTGAAGACTGATTTGGCACCACGATGTGCCTAGCATGATGCTAGGAACACAGAACCACAGCACTATGGTCTCAGCTCACAGGCAGCTTGCAGTCTAGTATCAGGGACAGAGCTCATGCCCATCAAGCAGCTTACACCCTGGAGAACAAGCAAACGCTGCTCTGCATAGGAGACACTGAGGCACACTGTGCAAATGGACTGCTCCATTCTTTTTTAAATGAGAAAGTTTACTTAGAAAGTCACAGAGGTAAAATTGAGCAGTAGAATACATGGTCTCAGGAGGTAACTCACCTGGGGGGAAAGGAGGGGGCAGAGGAAGGCACAGGCCATGCTCCCTGGAGGGAGAGCACCTCCCTATTCCTGAGTCTTAGCTCCTATGATAACTCTTCAGAGATCTTCCATTCCCCCTGTTATTCTCTATCACTGCACTTTATAATTAGATAGTATTTGTTTCCTTGTTTACTGCTTATCTCCACACTGGAAATGGGGGGATAGGCAGGAAACAAGTGGGAAAGAACCAGACCATGTCTGTTTTTTTACCAATATATTCCTAGTGCATCACACATGGTAGGCATTTAATAAATACCTGTTAAATTGATGGTTGGATATTGAAATTCAGAGTAAAAGACAGAGATATAAGAAAAGCTTTGTGGAGAAGGGGGCATTTAGGAATGAAGACTATTCGGAGAACTACAGGACATTCTAAGCAAGAGAGAATAACTTTAGTTTACTAAACATTTATAGAGGGGGTGTCTACGAGGTGCCAGGCCTAGAACCAGGCCCTAGGGGCCAAAGCTGACAGACTGAGCTACTGCCCTCTACACCTGGTTGTCCAGAGAACCTCAATCAGGCACGGCTATAAACACCCCTCTACACCAGTTAAATCAGAACTTTTGGGGGATAGGGCCCAAATATTGGTATTTCCAAAAAGTGCCCCAGGTAATTAGTATATTTCCCAAACTTTTCCACTCTTAAAAGTCACCTGGGGTACTTGTTGAAATACCAGGCCCCACTTCTATTGAACTGGAATCTTCAAAGAGGTAGTCAAGAATCAAATTTAAAAAGCACCCCAGGTAACTCTTGTTGACCAGGCATGTTTGTAAGATGGCTCTTCCAGGATGGCCTGGGATGGGGGACAGAGAAGAGACACAATTCAGAACACCTTTATTAATGTTGGTGAAAGGCATCAACTGAACCTGCTATGAAGATTTCAAACAAATGCTAACAGAAAAAATTCTATTTCTTCAATTCGAAGCCTCATTCTTTAATAAATTGTAAGGTCTCTGAAATCAGAATGTATCTGATTTAACAACTAATGTGTAGATTCAAGCAGTGTTTCTCAAGTCCCATCCCACTCCCAGGAAGTTCATGTTAAATCAATGATGTGTGTGGCATGCACTCTAAATTGCTCTTATAAATGAGCCCATCTGGTGGACTGAGAATCAGGAAACCTCCATCTTAACTAGTCCTATGACACTAAGCAAGTCATTTAACTTAATTTTTTGTAAGCTTCTCTCCTGGTTTTAACTATTATCTTTAGGCTGATAACATTTCCTCCAGCCTGAACTCTAGTTTCTTACTTTCATCCTTTTATGAACTTCCTTCCCTTCCCTCCCTTGCTCTTTACCTACCCCAAGCCAAGCACCAGGCTAGCCAATAGAAACACAAACAGTAGACACTGCCACTACCCAGATGAAATCCCCACCCAACCAGGACAACAGTTGAACTCCAGGGAGGGCAGAATGAGCAGAGCCTGGGGGAGTTCTGGGACCATTTCCCAGAAGGGACGATGCTTACATTAAATCTGGAGGTGACCACAAAACGAGCATAAAAGCACATGGTTTGTTAAAAAAGATGAGGTATGATGAATCCTGGTGGTGCACACACAGGTATCCTTTACACCATTCTTTTAACATTTCTATGCGTTTGAAATTTCCATAATAACGGGGGAAAAGATGAGACACATGCTACAACATGGATGAACCCTGAAGACATTATGCTAAGTGAAATAAGCCAGACACCAAAGGACAAAGACTGTATGATTCTACTTATATGAGGTATTTAGAATAATCAGCATTATAGAGACAGAAAGCAGAATAGTGGTTACCAGGGGCTGGAGGAGGGGAGACTGGGAGAACAGTGTTTCATGGGTACAGAGTTTCAGCTTGGGAAGATGGAAAAAGTTCTGGAAATGGATGGTGGTGACTGTTACTCAACAATGTGAATGTAGTTAAAGTCACTAAAATGTACACTTAAAAATGATAAAATTTTTATGTTATGTATATTTTATAATAAAAAAATTAGATCTAAATGTTCTGATGTGGAAGAATGCCCAAAATATATTGTTTAGTGAAAAAAGCAGATGCAGAATAGTATGTATAGCGTGACTGCCATTTGCATAAGCCCAGATAACGTCCGGAAGGACACCCAACAGACTATTAACAAAGAGTTTTCTCTGGGGCAGGGAAGTGGGCAGGACAGAAAAGGGGCCTTCTATTTTCTACTGCAAACACTCATGTAGTTTTTTTATTTTGTTTTTGTAAATATGTTTTTATTGATTTCAGAGAGAGGAAGAGAGATAGAAACATCAATGATGAGACATTGTAATTGATCGGCTGCCTCCTGCATGCCCCCTACAGGGGATTGAGCCAGCAACCCAGGCATGTGCCCTGACTAGTAATCCAACCGTGACATCCTGGTTCATGGGTCGACACTCACCATTGAGGCAAGCTGGCCAAGAATGTACAGTTTTATGAATTTTTAAAATGCGAATGTATTGCTTTTATAATTAAATACAAAAAAAAAGTGGTCATTTGTCTGGCAGATGGTACTATTTACATGTATATCTTCCTCTCTCTAGGGGCACCTGGGGCTGAGAAAGTAACTGAAATGCCTTTGTCCCTCCATCCAGTTCCCCATAGGCACTCAATAAATGCTGACTAGTTGAATGATTTGCCCACATTATATGGTGCTCTCTTTCCCAAGTATAGGCAGACTAGGGCACATTCATTCTAGTTGCCAATGAAGAGGAGGAAAGAAACACTAAGCCATGATGGCAGGCAGTGACGGTCCCTGAGGCTTCCCTGGGAGGCTCTTATCATAAGCCTTTGCTGGGGAAGCCACTGTTCTAAGTAAGTCTTCACAAATGATCTTACCTCGTCATATCCCAAGATCGCTGCATAGAAATTATTTGTCATAACCATCATGTTCTTCTTCAGGATATAGGGATTAACCTACAAGAAACAAAATCACAAAAACAGTAACAAATGAAAGGAAGGAACAAACTAAACAGTAGGATCTTTGGCTTTTAGCTGTCACACACTCTTAGAACAAAGAGAGAGGGTCCCTAACTGGTCAAACTGCTAGTTCATCCCCATCCCCCTGCTCTTTCAGGATTCTCCCCAGTGTGACAGGTTCTTTTAGGTTTTGATGCCATATTACACAAAGCAGTAACTCAGTTTAATGAACTGAGCCCCACCTAAACACAAAGCAAAAGAAACGGTTTCTTGACTGGAAGAGCACAGTCTAGCTAGTATTGGAAAACAGACATGTAAAAATTACAGTTGACCCTTGAACAACATGGGTGTGAACTGTGTGGGTCCACTCATACACGGATTTTTCAACTGCAGTAAGAACTTGTACTGTTTTCCATCCACAGGTGGGAGTCCATGGATGAGGAGGGCCAACTGCATATATTGACCTAACCATTTTATATAGAGGACTTGAGCATCCACAGATTTTGCACAGGGTACTGGAACCAATCCCCCATGGATACTGAGGATAGTTTTTGCAGAGTCAAAGTTATATGTGGATTTTCAACAGCACAAGGGTTGTGTCGAGTTGTTCAAAGGTCAACTGTAATTACCTACAATGTGTTGTCTTAAATTCTATTCCAAAAGTGGTGAGCCATAAGTGAATTTTGGTACAAATGATCTCTGCTTGGAGGACTGGGAAAGAGTTCTCTCTAGGAGGTAACATTTAAGTGGACCTCAGAGGAGGAGGAATCTGACAGAAGAGAGTAAGGGAGTGAAGAGACAACATTCTAGACAGAGGAAACAAGGTTTGCAAATGTGCAAAGACAGGTAACAAAATTTAGGGAGTGCTAAGAGGGGTAGGTGGGCAGGAACACTGGTAAGATATGTTGGGTCCAGGTTAGGAAATGTCTTAAGGATCACTCAAAAGACCCTGTTGTGGTAAAAGGACAGAAGAAGGAAGTGACAGATGTGGGAACAGGAGGGAAAGAGGCAGGACTCTGAGGCCATGGACAGGAGGAGAGAATAAGATGGGCTGAAGTATTAAGATTGTTAATGTCAAGAGACTATTCCAGAAATGTAATTCCAGCAAGACCCTTGAGACCTGGTAGGATTCCTCTGAGAGAGTGGTCAGGAGGGCCTTCAGAGCCCATAGCGTAGTTCACTGTCTTCAACAGGGTAGAATTTGACCTCCAGACCTCCAAGAATATGCTTGAGGGCAGAATCCAGCCTTCATTCCTCTCTGGAATCCCAGCAGAAAGTCTGGTGTAATGTGCAATATGCAGTAAGGACTCATTAAATATTTAAGCTGACAGGTTTTGGAAACAACCAAAAGTCGTTTAGAACTATATATGGAAAGTAAGATTTGTGCCTAACAACCCTGACCACGACCATGCTCACCATCATCTCTTCCATATATTGAGCACTGGTTAAGGCCCAGGTGGACCTTTATGGACATCATCTCCTCTAATCATCACGGGAACTCAGAGAGGTAGATGTGCTATAGTCATGTTTGTACAGACATAGAAAACTGAGACTCAGACAGTTAAGTGACTTGCCCTGAGTCCCACAGCAAATCAATGATAAAACTGAGATGAGTAAAGTCCATGCGCCCAATGTTCTATCAGGTTTCTGCCTCCAGGTGGAGAATTTTACTTTGGATTATACATTAAAGACTGAGTGATTTAATACTATGGGTTATAACCGGTCTCTAAGGGCAGAGAAGAGTAGTGAAGGATTTAGTTAGAAAACCTGGGTTCAAGTCATAATTCTGCTATATACATAGAATGTAATCTTGGGTAAGTCAAGTAACCTCTTGAGTCTATTTCCTTGTCTTTTAAATGTTCTGCAACAGGGTTGGTTTGAAGAGCAAATGAGTTAGCATGTATTCATTCATTAATTCAACAATGTATGCTGAAAGCCTTAGTAAGCTGTGAAGTGCTCTACAACTTCAAGGAATTATTAGTAATACCTTTTGGTTTGTTTGCATAAAACTAAAATCAGTTCCAATACTTTCTAGTCATGAATAATTTTCAAAAAGGAAGAGAGAATTGTGAAGCTCAAGACTGAAAAATGTGAAATTGGATGCAAGCTGTAGTACAATCCATGACCTTTCCCACCCCACCTTCAACCCAGGCCAAATTAGCCATCCATCTTTGTATTCCCAGAGCTCTCTGTTCACACTTCTCCCCCTGGGTACATAACATGGTTTAGAGTTGCTTATGTACCTGTCTCTCCCACTAGTCTGCAAGCTCCTCAAAGGTCATAAGGAACTCTGTCTGATTATTCTCGGCACCCCCATCACCCAGTCCAGGGCCTGGCCTAGAGCAGGGTTTAAGACTGGCATGCTGATGACTGAATCATTACAAGGGTCTGAGTGCCACGCATAGCATGTTCTATCCAGTGGTACCCATTTGCTTGCTTCTGAAATTTCAGAAACATATACTGCCAAACTTCTGCACCATCTTCCAGAATGGGCTGAGGTGAAAGGAGGCAAGAAATAAATCAGAGCTAGAGTTAATTTGAGGATGGGACTACAACTCAGAGCTGTTGATACCTATTTTGGGGCTCTCCCTACTCCCATACTAGTTGTTCTCCTAACTGTGCAAGAAGTACCAGTCATAAATGAAAACCAGAGATGTCAAACACGAAGGCAGGAGCATCTCTCAGAGGTAAACATTCACCAAACGTGCTCACAGAGCTGCTTTATGTGTTGCATCAAACCAGTAGGCTTTGGAGTTGGAAGGGCCCTCAGAAACAATCTAGCTCCATCCCTTTGAGGAAATGGGAAAGAGATCCAGAAAGAAGAAAACACTTGTTCAAGGTCACACATCAGATTAGTGTAAGAGTCAGGACTGGAAACTGATTTCTGTACAAGTGCTTTTCCTGTTTCACCACCTAAAGGGCTTTTCCAGAGATCACCAACACATTCATCTGCAAACCTGTTCTTTTCAGCAAGGTCTATTTACATATGAACACACTTTCTCCCCTTGGGATGCACCTGCATTCTGGCTGGCTACTGCCCAGCAAGAGTAGAGAGCCGGAGTGGAATTCCTTATTAGCAAGGCTCATCTACCTCCTTGTCCTATATTCTAAACTCAAGTGACCTGTAAGCTGCCTCTCCCCCTCACCTCTAGCTGAAATGGCAAGCTGCCACAGCTAGAAATGGTTTTCAGATATCATCACCCAGACTGGATTAGATCATGAAAAGGGCCCTTCCTGGAAGAGGGTGGAAGCTCGATCAGCGCAGACACATGATATGCAGGCAACAGGTGAGCATAAGTGAGAACAGCTTCCTGAACTACTGGATTCACCCCACTGGGCCCTTCTAGCCAGCCCAGCAGCCAAGGGGAGCTGGATATTCCCTCTGGTGAACCTCTGTTGGGATTTTTTTTTTTAAATATGTCTTTATTGATTTCAGAGAGAGGAAAGGAGAGGGAGCGAGAGAGAGAAACATCAATGATGAGGGTCATTGACTAGCTGCCTCCTGCACGCCCCCGACTGGGGATTGAGCCCGCAACCCGGGCATGTGCCCTGACAGGGAATCGAACCCAGATCGCCTGGATCCTAGGTCGACGCTCAACACTGCGCCACCCTGGCCGGGCTCTGTTGGGATTTTATTCTCACTTAAGCTGGTGTGCAGGTTCTGTGTCCCCACTCCCAGATCACTCTATATGGAGTACCCTGTCCATGAATACATACATGGAGAAACTCCTCCCAGATAGCATCGGGCCATTTTCTTATTAAGCTCTTATCCTTTCCATAATGCTTTGCTTTTTATAAAAACCCATACATACAACACCACCACAAGGAAAAGGTTCCTTTTATATCAGTTACTCATATTTTCCCATTTATTTAAGCTATTAAAATTCATGCAGATATTTTATAAGCCATCAGGATTTGGTGACTGGTATTACTGAATGTTTAATAATAAACTAAACAGAAGAAATCAGAGGGTTAAATGATGACTGCAATTCCTGTAATGACTTAATTAAATTTTTATTGAGTACATAAACTATGATGTCATTTCTAGCCAACCATGGGTGTGCTTTCCCAGCATGTCACAGGGTGGGAGCACTCAATAGGAGGCGAGGCTAAATGAGCAGCAAGTCTCAGCTGAAATGGGGAGGGGAGCAAGGCTCATGTAACACACTCAATAAATTATCCGTTCATTTTTAAACAAAGTCCATGAGTTATAATATATTTGCCATGCACTTTTTATGACATAATAAAAATGTTACCTTAAGGATTACTTAACACATACTACAAATGTTATAGCAGAGGCAGGCACAAGGGGCAAAGAAAACAAACATGAGCAGTCCAGAGACGGGTCCTGGAGTTTACGTCCTGGGGGAATAGCATAGTATATTAAAAAGGGAATGCAAAAAAGGGAGGGCGATGCAAGAGTTCAGGGTTACTAATCAGCAGATTAATGAATGAGACAACCAACAGGGAGCACAAGTAAAGCAATAATGAATCTTGCAAGGCGCATATTTAATTAATGTAGTATTCTCAAAGAGGAATATTAGCTGTAAAAGATGCCAGTTCATTTGAGGCCAATCCACTGCCCTCTTTTCCCTTTTTGCTATTGCTGCTCTTAAAGACGTTTATGTGACTGCCTAACAGAAAAACCAGATTATGTGGATGGGGGACTGATGGAAGATCAAGTTTAAACCCTTCCATGAACTCTATGAGGTTCTTTGTGATCTGCTCTTAATATTCTTTCCTACCTCATCTCCTCCTGTCTTTTATCACATCCCTCAGAGTAAACTATGAGCACTTTCCACAAACATGTCGTGCTCTTATAGCTCTTAAGCATACTCCTGCTGGGAATCCTTTCTTTATCCACTGGGATGCTAACTCCATAACTTCTAAAACTCAGCTTACAAATTATATCTTCTACAAAGCCACCTTTCTTCCCAGTCTACAGGTGCCACAAAAGTGATTTGAGTCCAGAAACAGGTTCCATATTTCACTGTTTA